TCCCCTCCCCGTCGGCAAGCATCATGCCGCAGCGCACCGGAGACGAAGAACGTTTCCAAGATAGCTGGCACGCTAGTTGCCCTATATAGGGGGAGGTGTGTGCTCGATCGAGCTGCACTTCCGAGGTTCGACAGGAGCTCTCCTCTCGCTCTCGGGGCGGGGTGCGAGTGCACGAATGATGTCGACGGTCCTCGGATGAGCGCTCTCGAGCTTCCTTCTCGCGTTTTGGTATAACGCGAGGTGGCCCTCCCGGGACCCGGCGGCGTGCTCGCGGTCCCTGCGTTCCGCCGGGGCACCCCTCGGGCCGGTGCCTCGGAGCGAAACGGAACGCGTCGTGCTCCGGCGGAGTCGGAGTCACGACAGCTCGCCGTTGATTTTGCAACGGCGGGTTCGCGGTCTCTTCGTTCCGACGACGCACCGTGCCTCTCGAGAGTGGTGTTGCGTCGGAACGGGAGAGGTGGTGCTCCGGCGGAGCCGGGGTCACGACCACTCGCCGGTCCGGTCCAGGCGGCGGGTTCGCGGTCTCTTCGTTCCGACGACGCACCACCTTCTCCGTGCCTCTCGAGAGTGGTGTTGCGTCGTAACGGGAGAGGTGGTGCTCCGGCGGAGCCGGGGTCACGACCACTCGCCGGTCCGGTCCAGGCGGCGGGTTCGCGGTCTCTTCGTTCCGACGACGCACCACCTTCTCCGTGCCTCTCGAGAGTGGTGTTGCGTCGGAACGGGAGAGGTGGTGCTCCGGCGGAGCCGGGGTCACGACCACTCGCCGGTCCGGTCCAGGCGGCGGGTTCGCGGTCTCTTCGTTCCGACGACGCACCACCTTCTCCGTGCCTCTCGAGAGTGGTGTTGCGTCGTGACGGGAGAGGTGGTGCTCCGGCGGAGCCGGGGTCACGACCACTCGCCGGTCCGGTCCAGGCGGCGGGTTCGCGGTCTCTTCGTTCCGACGACGCACAGCTCTCTCCGTACCTGCGAAGGAACCGGAAGAGTGGTGCCCCGGCGGAATCGCGGTCACGCCACCCCGCCGCCGAGGTCGGGCGGTGGTGCTGTCGTCGCCCGGAGCCCTTCGGGGCGCGACGTTTTCCGTACTCGGATTCCGGTGTTCCCACGATTTCGAGGTAAAGAAGTGGGGCAGGATTCTCTCCCCTCCCCTCCTCCCCCGGACGCCCGGTGCCGCGGAGGACCGCAGATCGAAATCGTTTCCAAGATATCTGGACAGGTCGATACCCTATATGGGGAGGACCTGTCTGATGATGACAGGTCTGAGAGTCATGATCGAAACACCACTCGAGTGGGTTGGATCTGAGTCTCCTGATGTGGTGGACTGGTTTCCAATGAACGAACCGGATCGCGTGCGAAACCTCTCAACGTGCCCAGGTTGCGAGGTGACGTCTGGATTCGGCGAGCTCTGCGGATCTGCCTACGTCACCCCCCTCGGGCAGGGGCCCGAGTAGTCCCGTGCCGTGCTTTGTCGGCCGGGACCGCCTCCGAGGAAGTCGACTGCTGAGCGAACCGTAACGACGTCGCGAGCGAAGCCTGGAACGGGGCAGGTTTTATTCGCGTCGGAATTCGGTGAGCGATGCGGTCGCTTCGGAAGGGGCATGTGTGATTGTCCCGTGCTCTGATAGCCGGGATGATCGTATTTATATCGTCCCGTGCTGGGTTCGCCGGGACCGTGTATCTCCCGCTTCGGCGGTTGCTTCCGATGGGGTGACCCGTCTCTGATTAGTCCCGTGCTGGGTTCGCCGGGACCGTGTATCTCCCGCTTCGGCGGGACCACGATGTTGCCTCTCGTCGAGGCGACTGCCGTCGACTGCGGAGCGGACCGGAACGACGACGACGTCGCGTGCGAAGCCTGCAACGTGTCCATGTTGTCGGGCGGGAGGTGCCGTCGTCGGAATACGGTGGAGCTCTGCGGGCCGGCGGTTGCTTCCGATGGGGTGACCAGCCTCTAGAATGGTGCCTCCCAGGAGGCTGCCGAAGGATTTTCTCTCTGGCCAGCCGCGTCGTAGGTTAGGGTCCGGAGGAGGAACGCGTTGGACGGATCCCCGAGGAGAAGCCTGTCAGTGGACGGAAGAGGACCTGCCCCCGGCCCGGACGGAAGGAAGGGGACCTGACGGAAGAGGACCGTAGGAGATTGACGGAAGAGGACCGTAGGAGATTGACGGAAGAGTGTGTCGTCGCGGTGAATTCCATCAGATGGTCGCGGAGAAGTGGATCGTCGCGGAACTGCATTCGAGCGGATCGTCCCGGACTGCGGTGTTGCCTCTCGTCGAGGCGACTGCCGTCGACTGCGGAGCGAGGCGGAACGACGACGACGTCGCGTGCGAAGCCTGCAACGTGTCCATGTTGTCGGGCGGGAGGCGCCGTCGTCCTAGTTTCGTCGAGCTCTGCGGACCGGCGGTTGCTTCCGATGGGGTGACCCGTCTCTGATTGGTCCCGTGCTGGGTACGCCGGGACCGTGTATCTCCCGCTTCGGCGGGACACAACCTGTCTCTCTGCTCGG